TTCAGCAGGAGACAATTTCCTTAATGAACAAACTTTCTTTTCATCATTTCAATGCAAACAATCCTTTTGAAGATCCCTTCATACATTCTATAATAAGCTGGAAAAGTTATCCCTTCATCTGGATTGTATACAAATTCACTAACTGAACAGCATCTGGAGTGAATGAATCTGAAGTCTTTCTTCCATAGTTTTAGTAAATAATTCAAAAAACTTTTGTTGTTGTTATTGTAATTGAAATTGCTGTTCGTATTGTTTTTTTTTGCTGCAATTGTTGTTCTTGTAGTTTTTGTTGCTGCAACTGTTTTTCTTGTTGCTTTTGTAGGGCCAATATTTGAATCATGATAGCTTTTAGCTCTTCCATTTTGGTGTACTCTGGCAAATAATTTTTGAATAATTTTGCCTGGTTATTTCTCTGTAGTCCTGCAAATATGACGTCTCTTTGGTGAAGTGATAAATATTACTGAATATCCTATTACGACATGTAGGATAAGTATATTTTATTTTTTCTTTGTGTAAGTTCAATAAATACTCATTGCCACTTTTGTAATGCATGTTTGTAAGAGAGACTTTGTAAATCACAGATACAATAATAGTAACAGTTTTGAACAATTCTCAGTCAAACAATACTCGGTCAGATGCTACTAATTCCCATATATATATATATATATATATATATATTTTTCTTTACCAATCACATGATCTAATTATTTCAAGATGAGCTTGACTGTGCTTGTTCTCTGGGGATCCGTGTTCAAACCCAAGTGTCAGTGTTGTGGATTCCAGGATGAAATCCGGTACCAATAAATAACAAACGCCAAGAATAAATACAGGAAAATAATGTATTAACGTAATAATACAAACTGGTAATGCAGCTTAGTAGTTCCAGGAATATGGGTTAGCGGCAAAATATTTATACAGTCTTTGGTATTGAAATATCGCTGTATGACTTCTTACTGAGTCTACGTGCTCGTTCACTGTGACTCCTACAATGCTGTTATCTCACCCTCACTCATCCGGTTACCTACAGCCTTTTACTCTGTCACTCTGGACTCGACTCCTCGGGTATTCACTGTTGGTAGTATAAGTATACACTGGGTGAGTCCATTTGTATAAAAAGGGGTGGACCCCTCAACAGTCAGCAGTGACACTTTATTCCTATATGACAAATATATATATATATATATATATATATATATGAAGAAATATAGTTTTAAGGTGTGCTATAATTATGGGATAAAGTGCTCAATATCAAAGATAGAGCGTATGTAAATATAACAGTGAACATTGAAGTTGACACTCAGAGGTGACAGGCTGTTTCATGCTAGACAATATATATATATATATATTAATACTCGGGTAGAAACCTTTCTTTTAAACATGGTTTGGTGAATGTGAAAGACAAGGAAAATTTAATTAATTTTCTATTTAGTTTCTCCAGCATTATTACATTTTTCACTTTGATGGTAATAATGGAGTGCGATAATTGTCTGTATATGTGAACCATTTTTGGTCACTTCTTTAGCCATTTTTAAGGAGGTTTGTTTTTAGGTTTTGTTACTTTCTCTTCATATTTGACTGTTTAGGATATGTTTTAGTATTGTTTTGAATACCAGTAGGAACAGTTATTCCAAGCTCTACATATGGCTGGAATTCTAGTGAGCATATTTCCATTTTTTTAAAAAAACTTTCAACATGCCATTACTATTATTGAATAAGGTTAAGTTGATAATGGAAGTGAGATTTTTACATACACGACCTCTATTATAGCAAGATGTTTCCAGTAATGTGATTTATATATAATGTTTGTGTTTTTGACCAGAATTTTCTTTAAAGGATATTATAAATCATGGGTGGCTAGATGTTCTTTTCATGGCACTTGATCTGATAAGTGATATGTGAGGTTTGTACTCAAGTAGGTGGTAGTATGTCAATATAAGATGTGTAAAAGGTTTGTGATTTAGCTGACTGATGCTACCTTCAGCATTCCAACTCCAGGGTTTCATAGATGTGCCCATCCATTTATTTGTTAGGGAGTATCTGCAATTGCCTGTTTTACAGGTATGCTATATTTATGGGTAAAAGTGCTTAATATGTTTGTAAGTATTATGTGTAAATATAAAAGCCTGAATACTGACTTCAAGAATAAAACAGACTATCACCACGTGGTACTGACCTCTGCATTCACAAATTATATATATATATATATATATATACACATATATATATGCATGTATGTATATATGAATTTAAGATAAGATATTGCACACTGAGTGCTACTTCTGGAATATAAATATTTTCGATATGCATATCATCTGCTTTATTTTATTCTTTTTTTCCTCAGTGTTGACAAGTTGAATATTTATACAAGGCCACATTTTAATGCCATCAGCTTTTACAATTTACCAAAATCAGCTATTTATCTAAAAGCTATATCTCTTCAAATGGTGAAAAGCACTTAAGATATCCATTTTCAAATTTTTAGCAATTGCTTCCATTGAAATATCAGTTTATTTTCCACAATGACAAGCAGAGCATCTTCATTGATGCTGAAAGTTTGGATGGAGATTGGTTCATTGTCTAGATTAAAATCATCCAGACCAAATCTGGTAAACCAGTTTTTGATCATCTAAAAAGCTGGAGAATGATTCCAATAAACCTTCTGAAAGTCTTTATGTTGCAGTTCTGTAATTTAACACACTGTAATTTTTTTTATTGAGCAAAAAGTTTCTCCTGCCATTTCAGATGATTTACTAAATAATAGTTTGTTTCAATTCCAGTTCTGTTGTCCTGTTCTTCTATACCAACTAGAAAATGACTGACTAATAAAAATCAAGAACTAAGCCATTGCAGTTTAGGAGCTGCCATATACAATGGAAATTGAAGTAATATTAATGAATAATGCAGAGTGTTAAAGGTTAATATTTCTTCTCCTTTTTTGTGTGCTGCATCACTCCAGAAAGTGGGTGATCATGGCTTTCCACAATTTCCTATCCTTTGGTATCTATGCTAATTAAAGAACTATTTACTCTTTTCTTAATGGTAAATTTGATAATGTCAAAATGGCAGCTGATTTAAAAAACAACCTTCAATGTAATATTAAACTGGGACAACAAATGGCTTGTTAATTTAAATGCCTCCAAAACTAAACTTCTCTCTTTTAATGATTTTAGAAAATCTTTTTTTGATTTCCTTCAGCATGGCTGATGCTAACCTCCAGAAGAGACATTCATTGTGCACTTCTCAGTCTAATGTTTTCCATTGATATGAATTAAAACACTTATATTTGGTCAATTGCTAAGTTGATTAAGTCTAAGTCAGTTGCTAAGTCTACTTCTGGAAAAATTGGTTTAATGTATCATGGTAGTCACTTTTTCTAGCTATAATCTATTTTGCACCTTTATAAATCTAACATTCATCTGTGCATGGAATATTTCTGCTATATCAGGTCTGGTACTTTTGAAATGTATCTAGCAAAATCCAAAGAAGACTTGAGCTCTTGGTTTCAATCACATTCCCATCACTGTAACATAGCTTCTCTGTGCCTTTTCTATAAACATTTTCATGGCAATTCTTCTGATGAGTTTTCCTCTTTGGTACCTCAACTTCATGAATTTAAGCACAGTACTAGATTGGTAACTAGGTCTCATCATTTCACAGTTAAAATTGCTAGGTGCAATTCTAAGTTGTTTTCTCTTGCACTTCCCACTTGTAGAACTCTCTTCCAGCTTCTTGATTTCCTATAAACTACAATCTTCAAAACTTTAAATGCAATATCAATCATCATGTCTTTTAGTCCTGTCCTGTCTCCACAATAATGTTTTCTCAGTTTCTTCCACATCAGTCCCCTTAAGTCTTAGTGGCTTTATTCCCTTGCTTGGAGTAAAATGATTAAAAATAAAATAGACTGTTGTTTTTGTGATATGCCAGCTCTGAGTATGTTCATTAATAAAATGTTGTACATGGCATCCAATGAGGATAAAACTCACTACAAAGTAATAATGGTTAACCTGATCAGTCTCACAAAGCATTACACAAATTCAAGATTCCTTTAACTTTGTGCTACAGGGAACTATTTTAAGTACATATTATAAATATAGAAATTATTGCTTCTAAAATTGTCAGTATCTTACTTTAGCTTCTTCATTGGTCAAAGGAAAGGCATGTGTATTCCGTACAGTATTTTTTCTTGGGAACAACCTGGAATATAAATATATTTATCAAATAAATGAAAATAAATATTTATAAATATATGTTTGTATTAAGTCATACATTAAGTGGAGAAATTCAAGAACTCAGGAGTCATCGTAGATCAAACGGCGAATGGTAGTCATGAAATCAGAGATCAGTTAGGGGAAACAGGATCTGCACTTAGGTCCCTTAACATACGGTGGAAAGACTGTACTCCTAATAAAAGCATCAAGCTGAAGTTCCTGAAGACCTTAGTATAGCTGGTGGTACTGTATGGCTGTAAAACATGGACACTAAAGGCCACCAATGTTAATCAGCTGACATCTTTTGAGATAACCTGTTATAGGTGGACATATTAGTTGGATAGATCACCAAAAAATAACAAAAAACAATTCAGTTCTGGAGGAGACAACAACAGATAGGCAGTTGGTCACGAGTATAAGGAACTGAAAAGTACGATACTTTAGCCTTGTCATCAGTACCCATAACATTTTCACCTACACTAATGATGGAAGACTGATAGAGATCAAAGACTCAGAGAAAATTCGTGAAGTGCATGGTTGAAAAACCAGCAAGCAGATGTTTGTGTTCAATTTTGCACATTGCCTTTAGAATAGTTATGAATCCATCTATTTACCCTTATCCATGGGTTAAATAGCAGAGTAGACTGAATTTTTATTTTGGATTTGCAACCAGTGTGTGAGAAACTCTGAATTTCATAGCATGGAGAAGGCAATGGGAAACCACTGTAATACTTTTCCTAAGAAGAGAGGCATAATAATTAACAGATAATAAATCAAAGAAACCGCGGAGGTCCATTGCCTGGGCCTTGAAGGGAAATGGCATTTAAAGAAGAGATAAAAAACATCTATTTATAGTTTCAGTTCTCTGCTTATGAGTTTTATTATTGCCTCCATTAACATTATTATATATCTAAGTCGGGAATCATCAAATTTATTGTGAGGGGGGTGCAGATAAGTAATGTTTACTATTACAATATATATATATATATATATATATATATATATATATATATATATTACAGGTAATAAATCCATTGGTATATAATCCAAGTGGATCCTTATAAAATAAAATATTAAAACTGAGCCACAAAAAGAGCTCAATATATTTATTATAACAGAACATATAAATTAAGCACAGTACAATATATGTGTAATATATATATATATATATATATATATATATATATATAAATAAAGTTGGGATCAACACATTTGATTTAAAAAAGGTTGCATAAATGTAAACATCACTTTAGACCAATGAAGTCCAAAAGGATGAAATGTGTCACATGCAAAATTTTCCCTTTTGCATAGTTTTTTTCTCTTAAAAATATATTGTTATTTATTACATATTTATTATATATATGCTATATATTTTTATAATATTATCATATATTATATGTCATTTTGGACACAAATCTCGAGCGTTTAGTAGTATGCTGTGCTCAGTACATGATCTTTCAGGGCCAGAAAATGTATTTCTGTTAATGCTCCATGGTGGATGATAAAGCAACTTAAGCAAAAGTGATACAGAAAAAAAGTCATGTAAAAATACTGGGCCATCAGCAAAAATTTAACTTTTTAGCTTTTTTCTTAAGTTAAAAGGAATTCTTTTTGCATGAGATGATCTTGAACTCAAAACTCTTTGGGTCTAGTCACTGGATTTAACCAATGTCTTTATCCACTGGGCCATGTAGAATTGAGACATGGCATGTGGAACTAGAACAATCTACCCCAGTGGATAAAATAAATGGTTCAGTTTGAAATCTCAATCACCTGAAGAAGGCTAGAGCATACAGCAGCCAAAACGTGAATATGGCAATGAATGAGGATAACAGTTCGAATAATGTAAATAATGTAAGGAATCATAACACTTCATTGCAGAGATATAGACAGATACCAAATGATCTCATTGAGAATTTTTCCCTTTTCTTCAGAGCTCTTGGAAATTGCATGATTTTCTTTGAAGCATGTGTTTCTTCAGTTCCCACTACAATGGTTCAATTATATTGAAATTAGGACCTTGTGCTTCATCCACAAGAAACCTTTTTGGTGCATGTGATGTTTAGCATAGAGCAACTATGTGCTGTAAAATTTCTCCATCTTCATAATATGACTGAAGATTAGACTGGTAAACTAATATATTTTTCACTGTTTAGGCTTCTATCAACATTTACCAATTTTCTTTTCTTTCTTTTACTGTTGCTTTTGAAGCAATCCCACATCAAATTTTACTATCTTTGTAGTGTACCTTGCATTGTTACTTTCTTCCACTGGTCTTCTTAAATATTCTCTTGCATAGGAATGTATTGTTATTTTAGGTTCATCACTAAAAATTACTTTTTGCTATTTCCCAGCATCTCATCTTAAATGTTCTTTTAACCATTTCAATCTTCTATTCCAATATTTTTTGGTTAATTTGGTTTTTGGTTATACATCCATCGAAGTTGTTTTTCTGTAATACTCTGCATACTTGTTGTAGAGTAGAACTCAGCATATTTTCCTGCTCTTCCTATCTCTCATTCAGTCATCTTCCCCTTCAAAGTCACAAGCTTTATCTTTGTTTCAGCAAAGAATTTAGCCATGATTTTTGTGTAAAAAAGTAAGCTAATATTCAACTACAATGACTTGTCCAAGGCACTTTACACCCATATTAACAAGATGGAACAATTTCAAAATTGAAATATTGTATATTGTCATGACTCAATCCTCTCAGATCTTTTATTGGCCCAATAGTCTTACATGACCTTTTCTAAGGTTGTATTTATATAAAATACAAATTTGACTATAATCTAATAATGTACAATAATAGATCATATGCAATATAAGTGAACAATTCAACTAGAAAAATTAAAAATAAATGTAATGTATTAGAGACATGTCACAATGAATCATTCCCTCTTAAATAAATCAACAATGTTTTGTGGCAGTTTTTGACATCAACTTGAGATTTTTCTTTTTAAAATTTGAATTATTTGAACACATTCAACATTATGGATAAAAAAAAGTGAATTTTTTATAGGGTTTTTTCAAGAGTTAACATGAACAAAACAAATTCATGGATTTGGATGAAAAATGTGGTGGAGAAAAATTGCAGTAAAAATATGAAGGAGCCAAAATTCATGTATTGTCTCAAGCTTTTGACTCACATAAGTTAAAAAATAATGATACAATCTACACTTTAAAACAATTTTTATTTCTCAAACTCCTCCACTTCCAATGAGAAATTCATTCTTTTCTTCAATTTTTCAAAACTTCATAATTTCCATAATTTTGTCAGTTAATTTATAAGTCTGTCACTCATCCATGCATTGAATATTGTTACCACTATTCTGCTATGTATCTAGAGATCTTGGCAAAATCCCCAAAATAAATTTCTTCTTTTTCTTTTTTTAATCATTTCACCTGAAGCAAGGTGATGGAAGATTATTAAAATTACATTGAAATTATTTTTCTAATAAGCTTTTCTCTTTGGTACCTCAACTTCATGAGTTTAAATATAGTATTAGATTGGCAACTAGGTCTCATTATTTCACTGTTAAAATTACCAGATGCAATCATATGTTCTATTTTAATTTCTTTTCTCACCTATGGAATTCTCTTCTGGCTTTTTTGTAAACTCTGATCTTAAAACAATGCAATTCAATGTTAAATGCCATATGCTTCTTTTTTTTTTTAATCCTGCTCTTTTGTTGCCCTTTCTCTTTAATAACATTTGCTCATTTTCATTCACTCTCAGTAATCTCTTGTGTCTTAGTGCCTTTATCACCTTGCTTGGTGTGAAAGGATTATAAATAAAATAACCACTTTAAGGTTGCCCCTCTGTGCCTTTTCTATAAATACTTTCATGGTAAGTGTCTGAATAAGCTCTTCACTATGGCACCTAGACTTTCTGAATTTAACTACAGTACTAGACTGGCATCAAGATCTCATTAATTTACAGTTGAGCTGGCTAGATATAGTCATAAATTCTATGCTAACAGTTTCTTTTCTTACACTTATTGCTTGTAGAACTCCATTCTGGCTCCACGGTTTCCAACCAACTTTAACCTGCAAAAATTTAAATGTGATGTTAATTGGTATATACTGTTATTAGTATAGGGGTGTATTTTGCCACACAAAGTTTACTAATTATTCTATGTTTGGTAGAATAACGTGTTCTAGCCTTCGTTAGCACACCGATACTAATATTAGCATTAGCGTACCCATTGATACACTAACACTGAATGCGAATACGAAAAGACGAAACACGTGAGCGTAACCAATGAAACATTTAATATGGCGAGCAGCCTTCGTAAATATATATACAAGAGTTATACATGTCCCAAAACAAATAAATATCAATATTGTCCCACAGGAACGAGGAGGTTAAAACAAGATAAGTACAAAGATACCACCTACCAACTTCATGGCCTTTGGTCGTCCCCCAGATGGGTGAAAGAGTTCGTTGCGTTAGGCCGTACCCAGGTTGACCAGTTTCCACGTGTGTGGACTCTCTGGTGGTCAGGAAGGAAAAGAGGTCGTTCCTCCCAAAACGGAAGTGACGACAAAAAGAGGCAGAAGAGTTCTACTCACTAAAAGGGGCCACAACTCTCATGGGCTAAATGCCAAGAGAAAACACTGTGGTATCCCTACACTGTACTTCTGATTACTCTTTTTCTCTTCCTGCTCATTTTTAATGTTTCTGTTCCTAATTCTTCCACACCCTGTAACTCCTTGCATCTTAGTGACTTTACTGCCTTGCATTGGGTGATACTGATAACAGAAAACAAATTATTTGACAGTGATGTCAATTATATTTGTGTACTTATAAGAAGAAACAGGATCTTTGTGAAAAACAAAAACATGATATAAAATTTATATTCTTCTCACCATTGGATGTATGCACGGTTATGCTCTAGCAAATCATATTTTCCTGTCCATTCAAGGACATCTTCAATAAAATCTCCTTCAAAACAGAAAGAATATAAAAAATAATATAGTAAAATAGATTCATAATATTTTAGAGTTGAGATTAGAATATACCAAAAATAAAAGCCAATCAACTTGTAGCTCATCAGGATATGCAGGTGACACCATGCTGATGGCAAACACAGATGGCTGCAACATCTAGTCAGGTAGTAAAGAAAAGCAAGAAGAAAGGAATAACTACCAATTCTAAGAAGTCACAATATGTGCGTGTTAGTAAGAGGAACAGCACAAAATGTGAGCTACAAATTATAAATGGATTATGACCACATCATGGTGAAACAATTGTTCCCATATGATTACCAAAATTAAGCAATGTTGAGCCTGATTTGTATGTAGATGGGTGTTCACTTGAGAATTCTGGGCACTGTAAGCTTGGATGTGTGGGTGGTGTAATAGATAATGGCTCAGAATTTTTAATTAGAGAGTCAAGTACCAATTCCAGTTGGGTTTGTTATATTCACTTACATGCAAATACACTTGGGAAAGGTATGAATCCACCTCATCTCCCCTGCTATGGATTAATTAGTAAGGTTTGCATTGCTAAAAACATTATTATCTCAAAAACATTTCACAATAGCTAGTTATTTGCTATGATATTTTTAAAGTTAATGTAGTGACATAGGCAAAATGGACTTGTGCAATTTTGCATAGAGTCAAGTGACTACTATAAGTCAATCATCACTTGGTACTAAGGCAGGACATCTATATCACAGACTAGAAGACATTACAACAACATGGCATTGCCAATAGGATCTCTAACTCTTCCATTTTTCTGTATAAATATGCTTGGAATAAGTTTTAAGATGTCATTGCAATGCATGAGTCATTTTAAAACCTATTTGCAGTATTGCAGCCATGATTGGAATTTGTCTATATTTCTGAGATGAGGTATTATGTACATTATTTACATTATTCAGACTATTGTCCTCATCTTTGTTATGTGAGTTCAATACCTGATTAAGGCAGTGGAAAACTTTCAGAGGGAAATTAACAGGAGATAACTGATAACTGACATCCATTAAACATGGCACATGGAACTAGAACAGTCTACCCCAGTGAGCGAAATAAAGGGTTTGGTTTGACATTCCAACCACCTCAAGAAGGCTGGAGTGTAAAATGGCCGAAACGTTGTAATAAATATGGCAACAAAGATGAGGACAATAGTCCGAATAATGTAAATAATGATTGGAATTTTTTTATAAATCAATCTCCTTTGCTAAAGAGTGCATGAGGCTCTAAAATGGTTGGTTTAAACATGATATATGTACTGTATGTCTTTTATAGAGAATAAGAAGACTTTTCACATCTGTCAACAGAATTTTATAAAATTTTCAGGAAATGATATTATATGATGCATCTACTTAGAAATGAATCAATCTAACATTAATATCCTTATTACCCATATTATTGTATATTATATCATATGTAATAAATATATATAATTTTTCTCCTTCACAATAGCTAGCTATTTGTCATAACATTTTTAAAGTTAATGTAGTGACATAAGCAAAATGAAGTTGTCCATGTGACTACTTATAAGTCAATCATCCCATGGTATAGTGGCAGAACTTCTGTCACAGACTAGAAGATATTACAGCACTTTACATTCAGTTTGGAAAAAGATAAATGATTATACATACTATTATATTTTAACTCTTAGTATCCTGTGAGAGATAATCGCACCATAAAGATTTGAAGAAATCTAATAAAAATGTAATCCTTTCACAAAAGTAAGAATAATTTTTACATCTATCAACAGAATTTTATGAAAACTTCAGGAAACAAAGTTCAATGATGTTGCTACCTATGAATGAATCAAACTAACATTAATGTCCTTATTAATAATGTCATTATTACCCATATTATTGTATCTCTATCTATAAAAGGCAGGATGTGTTTTCGACAGATTTGCACCAAAACTTACATGCACATTCTCCAAGTTAGTGGGAAGGCCAAGATTGACTTTGCATTTCCCAACTCCCATCGATAGTGGAAATAATTGATTTTTTCATGCATCTACAGCAGTTTTCATGTAATTTGCAGCCATTTTCTACTGGCCAGAGTGAAAGCCTGAAGCTGGCTGCCACAAATAGGCAGGAAGATTCTATTGGCCAGTGTGAGAGCCAACATCTGACTGACACAAATGTAACTAGCATGCTAGCATGCAAAAAAAAATCGATAGCTACATTTGTCACAATTGGGAAAAATTTAAATCTGCATGGCACTTTACTCTAATTGGCTCATTCGCTTGCTTAAACTCAACGTTGATTCTGATTCTGCAGAACTGGGTTGGGTGTGAAAAAGTATTTGTTGTTAACATTCTTTTTTCATTCGGTGTTTCCAGTTACGAGTCCTTTTTTATAGCTGATCGTTTTGTGTTCATTGTGTTTAGTTCTTTTTTCATAACAGATTTAATGTTTAGTTTAGAGCTTAGAAAAAATTTGCAGTGTGAGATAGGCAAGAAGTAAGGTATGTAGCAACATCAGCACAGCAAAGGGCATTCCTTTAAATGCAAGGAAGGGCAAAAATATTTTAAGTCACGTGATAGCAATTGCTGTATGAGTCGTACGATTTTTGAATCAAGCACGGGCAACGCCGGCCCATGCTGCTAGTATTATATTGTTATTATATTATTATTGTATATTTTGTATTTACGGAGATACTTGGTGTCCATTGATGACACTGAAATATCACTGAGTATCGTCCATATGTTCATTATTTTTTTGGTTAAAACATTTCTGAATAAATTCAGGATCACTTTCACATCCAGGATCCATTTCATCATAAGATCATAATTGACAAAAAAAGGCCAAAAAGCATCATTCAAATATGGATCCATAATTGCTGGTTTAATATAACATATATGTACTGTACATTATTCCGGTGGAACTGGGCAGTAGAAGTTGGAAGCATAAGTGCAGTATCATGTAGTATGAAATGTTTGATTGAGTGATTTGTTGTTTTTATGCTTTATAAACCCTTTGTGCCAATCTCCCATTTAAGTACTGACCAGTCTACCATTTAAGTATTGGCCAGTCTCACATCTAAGTACTGGCCAGTTTCCCATCTAATTACTGGCCAGTCTCCCATCTATGTACTGGCCAGTCTACCATCTATGTTCTGGCCAGTCTCCCATTAAGGACTGGCCAGTCTCCCATCTAAGTACTATGCAGTCTCCCATTTCAGTACTGGCCAATCTCCCATTTAAGTGCGGGCCAGTCTCCCATTGAATTACTGGCCATCTCCCATCTATGTACTGACCAGTCACAAATGTAATTACTGGCCAGTCTCCCATTTAAGTACTGCCCAGTCTCCCATGTAATTACTGGCCATCGGCCATCTATGTACTGTCCAGTCTCTCATTTAAGTACTGGCCAGTCCCACATCTATATCCTGGCCAGTCTCCCATCTAAGTACTGTACAGTCTCCCACCTAAGTACTGTCCAGTCTCCCATTTAAATACTGGCCAGTCTCCCATCTATGTACTGTCCAGTCTCCCATTTAAGTACTGGCCAGTCTCCCATTTAAGTACTGGCCAGTCTCCTTTCTAAGTACTGGCCAGTCTACCATTTAAGTACTGAACAGCCTCCCATTTAAGTACTTGTCAGTCTCCCATCTAAGTACTGGCTAGTCTCCCATCTAATTACTGGCCAGTCTCCCATCTAATTACTGACCAGTCTCCCACATATGTATAGGCCAGTCCCCCATTTATGTACTGGCCAGTCTCCCATATAATTACTGGCCTGTCTCCCATCTATGTACTGTCCAGTCTCCCATTTAACTACTGGCCAGTCACCCATTTAATTGCTGGCTAGTCTCTCGTCTAACTACTGGCCAGTCTCCGATTTATGTACTGGCCAGTTTCTCATTTAAGAACTGGCCAATCTCCCATTTAAATACTGGACAGTCTCCCATCTATGTACTGTCCAGTCTGCCATTTAAGTACTGACCAGTCTCCCATTTAAATACTGGCCAGTCTCCCATCCAAGTACTGGCCAGTTTCACATTTAAATACTGGCCAGTCTTCCATCTATGTAGCATCCAGTCTCCCATTTAAGTACTGGCCAGTCTTCCATTTAAATACTGGCCAGTCTCACATCTTAGTACTGGCTAGTCTCCCACCTAAGTCCTGGCCAGTCTCCCATCTATGTACTGACCAGTCACACATGTAATTACTGGCCAGTTTCCCATTTAAGCACTGCCCAGTCTCCCATATAATTACTGGCCATCAGCCATCTATGTACTGACCAGTCTCCCATTTAAGTACTAGCCAGTCTCCCATCTAAGTACTGGCCAGTCCCCCATCTATATCCTAGCCAGTCTCTCATTAAGGACTGGCCAGTCTCCCATCTATGTACTGACCAGTCTCCCATCTAAGTACTGGCCAGTTTCCCATTTAAATACTGGCCAGTCTCCTATCTAAGTACTGGCCAGTCTCCCATTTAAGTACTGAACAGTCTCCCATTTAATACTGGCCAGTCTCCCCTCTACGTACTGTCCAGTCTCCCATTTAACTACTGGTTAGTCACCCATTTAAGTGCTGGCTTGTTTCCTGTCTAACTACTGTCCAGTCTCCAATCTATGTACTGGTCAGTCTCCCATGTAAGTACTGGCCAGTCTCCCATTTAAGTACTGGCCAGTCTGCCATTTAAATACTTCGACAGTCTCCCATCTATGTACTGTCCAGTTTCCCATTTAAGTACTGGCCACTCTCCCATTTAAGTACTGGCCAGTCTCCCAACTAAGTACTGACCAGTCTCCCATTTAAGTATTCACCACTCTCCCATCTAAATACTGGCGAGTCTCCCATCTATGTACTGCCCAGTCTCCCATCTATGTACTGCCCAGTCTCCCATCTATGTACTGTCCAATCTCATATCTATGCACTGGGCAGTCTCACATTTAAATACTGGCCACTCTCCCATATAATTATTGGCCAGTCCCCCATCTATGTCCTGACCAGTCTCCCACCTAAGTCCTGGCCAGTCTCCCATCTATGTACTGACCAGTCTTCCATTTAAGTACTGGCCAGTCTCCCATTTAAGTACTGACCAATCTCCCATTTAAGTACTAGGCAGTCTCCCATTTAGGTACTGGCCAGTCTTCCATCTAATTACTGGCTAGTCTCTCATCTATGTACTGGGCACTCTCCCATTTAAGTAATGGCCAGCCTCCCATTTAGGTACTGGCCAGTCTCCCATTTAAGTATTGGCTAGTCTCCCATCTAAGTACTGCCCAGTCTCCCATCTAATTACTGGCCACTCTCCCATTTATGTACTGGCCAGTCTTCCATCCAAGAACTGACCAGGCGTGAATGATAATTGGCATTTTCAGTGTGATTTGACAACTTACAAAAGATAAAAAGTTCCATAGTTGTCCAAATCATAAAGGTACATAACACATAGGAATTTGATTTTATCTGTCACTGACAAATGACTGGAAGTTGTAGAGACCCATGATTGTCCACAAGATGTACAGCTTATAGAAGATGATTTGTTTTCATCTCTCAATAACAAAGGATATGAAGTTGTGGAGATCCATTATCCCCTATATACTAAAGATACATGGTATATAGAAGTCTTGATTTTATCTCACAATGACAAATGATAGGTAGTTGTGGAGAGCCATGATTGCGTACATCCTAAGAGGACATAGCACATAGAAGTTTTGATTTTATCTCTCAATGGTAAATGAGAAATGATAGGAATTTGTGGAGAGCACTGATTGCCCCACTCCTAAATGGATATGGCACTTAGAAAAAGAATTTTATTTATCTCTAAATGACAAATGACAAACAAGCGGTAGTTGTGGAGAGCCATGATCTCCCATGTCATAAACGGACATGTCACACAGAAAAAGAAAATGATAAAATTCCACATTTAAAATATATTAAAAATGTAAGTGCGAAATGAAAAGGTAGACTTACCATCTGGTTCAAATTTTATTTCATTACTGTAAAAGGCAACATTTGGATTACCTTAAAAGAAAAAAATAATTTCAAAATTTATTATATAAACACTTCACTCTTGTCTCACAATATAAGGTCTTTTAATAGTGTATCATGAAAGAACATAAATTTTTAAAATAATTAACTACAGGTTGAGAATCCTTTAACTGAAATTCTTGGATCTGGAAGTGCTTTGGTCTTCAGATTTTTTTCAAATTTTAGAATAGAGGCTATTTAATTTGTATATACCATCTATAAAATGGGGCAGCTTGGGAATTTTGCTTTACATTTCATAACAGTGCATATACATTTACCCTAAAGATAGTTTTATATAAAATTTAATGAATTTTCTGTACATACAGATACAGGTAATTACCCTAGACATGTAGTGCTCGCATGGATTTTTAAGTATTGAAAATAAGATTTCATATAAAAATAATATTTTGTACTTTCTGTACAAAAAAACCAAAAAAAACATGGCCACTACTTACAAAAAATATATAAATGCAGGATTTTTTGACATTTTGAACAATATATTTACTGAGCACAAAACACCTGGAAGTAATCCGCAAACAAAGGTGTTGCTGTGATGTTCACTAACAAAAACTTTGCACAAATGTAGGCACTGTAGCTAGACTGGGGAACTGACACTCAAGGCAGAAGTGGTTATTTACAACAGCTACACATCACCTAATAATGTTCCCAGGGCTTTCTGAAATTTTCCATTTGTAACACGTCATGTCAGCACCTGAAAAACTTGGATTTTGGAAGTTTTTGTATTTGGGGATTTTGGATAAAGGATCTTTTCTGTTAATTTGCCCCCAAATAAATAAAAAGTATTTATATTTGCTGAAATTCACACCAAATTCTCCCAGAGTAAGGCCCTTCAATTACACTCTAGTTGGGTTGAACTTTGCAATGTTGGTGAGTTGTTTTTTTAATTCTAAGTGAGGGGTCAGTATTCATGCCCACACTGATAAACTAAAAACAGACTTTTTTTTCCTATTTTCTTAAATGGTTAAAAAAATTCCTTGTAAGTACTTGGAATATTTTCTGCACTTACGAATAAATGAATAACTCTCTGACTTTTGGTAATTTTTTATTCTTTGTGTTTAAGTTGTTGCAAGGCAAGTTAAACAAATTTTGATTTTAAATAAATAGTATCTATTAAAATAATGTACAGACAGAAAATATATTAAAATAATTGTTGAACTTAAACCAGTGCATAATGTTGTGAATATTTATGTTCAGGTACATCTCTTGAGCAGATATTATCATTTGGGAAAGATCGTCAAAGATTTATTACTTAAAAACAGTAATCTGGACTTTGCTAACCAGATGCTTCACTATAACATGTCAAATAAATTAATAGGACAGGTTGGATTCCTTTTGGAGAAAATTTCTTGAACATTCAGGCTGGTAAATGTAATTAATATTGTTTATCTAAAAAACAGTGCATTTACTTAAATTGTATCCATTAAAATAAGATATAGATAGAAAATATGTTAAAATAATTTTTGGATTTAAACCATTTCATAATATATATATATATATATATATATATAAAGAGAGAGAGAGAAAGAGGGTAGAGACTGATTGGAAGAATATGAGAATAACTGAGTGTGAATGAGTATAGTGAGAATGAGAATGGGAATTATAGAGAGAATATAGCAGTTAGAATCTCAGAGAGTGAGAAAGGGTGTGAGAATGGGATACAATGGAAATGGTGGAGAATGTGTGGGTGTGTGAAAAATTGTGAGAATGATTTAAGAATGTGAGAGAAAGAAGCAGAGTGAGAGAGAGAGAGAGTGAGGGAGAGAATGTGTGAGAAAGATAGTGAGAGTGCTATGGAGCAAAGGACAGTGTGATAGGGAGAATAACTGCATGCATGAGCAGAAAATGTATGTCAGTATGTGGGAGTCTGTTTGCGAGAGATTGAGAGTGATAATCAGAGAGAGTCTAACAATGAGATTGTCAGAGAGAGAGAGAGAGAGAGAGAGAGTGAGAGTGAGAGTGAGATGTGTTAGAAAGAGAGTGTGGCAGAATATAAGAGTGTGTGCCAGAGATAGTCTGGAAGAAAAATTTTGAATATGAGAGAATGTGCAAGACAGAGAAAAACATTGCAAGAATGAGTGAATGATTGAGATTAACAGAGTGAGTGAGTGACTTGGCATTTGAAGATTGAGAGCACAAGAGTGAGAGATTGAAAAAATTAAGTAGAAATGAGTGTAGCATATTGAGAGTTTGACAGTGTGTTCAGAAATATTGCCAGAAATCCTGCATGAATAACTGAATATTTAATATATATACCCAAATTAAGAGACATTATAAAACACATTTTTTTACAACATAATAACTTAACAAGTGTTTAAAATAGATTTATTTTCTTTTGAAAGATAATTTTATGTGTGCATCAGCAGCTGAAGATAGAATGGATGAGAAGAAAAAAGAAATGAATTGATAATTGATTCCATATATTTATTTAAGGCTATTATCTTCATCATAATATACAGGCAGGTTCTTTGGCCTTTGGCATATTTCACTTTTGGTGGTCATTAGAATTTGTTTCACAATTTGTAAACCTTCCCAAACCAGAGCATCTGTGAAAAAATATCAGTAAGATCAATGATTTTAAAAAAATGCAAAGATGAGATAGTAGTTTGAAGAATGCCTGGAATAATGGAAAATTTTCATTGAAGAAAAGAAATTAAGTCTTTTCATTACAAAGATTTAAAAATATATAAAAGCATGGATAGAATTTCTAACACTTGATTTAGATTTTAGACAGTGAAAGATCAAGTGAATGAAAGAAAAGAGTGTACGAATATTAGAGAGTGTGAGATAGAGTGTGAGAGGGATAAGGAGAGAACGATAGTATCATAGAATGATTATGAGGGATCTGGAGGATGTGGGAGAGGTTAACATAGTATGCCAGAGAGTGTATGAGTGATTATGAGAGATAGTGTAGCAGTGAGAAAGAGTATTTGAATGACTGATAGTGAGTGAGTGTTAGAGAGAATGAGAATGGTAATAATAGAGAGAATGTAGCAGTTAGAATGGCAGTAACATTGAGAAAGGTTGTGAGAATGTGAGACATAGTGTGTATGTATGTGTGTGTGTATGTTGAAAGCTTACCTGTACTGTTTCTCCGAACTTCATTACCAACATTTCCATGCAGTTGAAAAAATATGTGTGATAGCAAGAGAGATAGAGAGGGAGAGAGAGAGAGAAACAGAGACTGAGAGAGAGAGAGAGAGACAGAGAGAGAGAGTAACAGTGTAAGTGAGTATGAAATTGAGAGTGATAATGAGAGATAGAGTATGTGCTTGAGAGTGAGTGACAGATTTGAGAGAGTGTGTGAGAAAAATTGACAGTGAGAAATATAGTGCTAGTGCTACTGTTAGTGTATAGCGGAGTGTCCGGGTGAGAATTTCAGGGTGATAGAGACAGAGAGGGAGGGACAGAGTGAGGGAGTGTGTGTGTGTGTAAAAGAAGAGAGAGAGAGAGAGATCAATGGAAAGAGGAAAATCAGAGATAGAAGAGACTGGTATATTGAAAAATTATTGATGTGAGAGTATGAGATTGTATGTCACATTGAGAGAAAGAGATAGTAAGAGAGTGAAAGACAGAGAAAGACAAAGAGTGGGAGAGACAGTGTTTGTGTTGAAAGCTTACATGTAATATTCCTCCGAACTGCACTACCAGCATTTCCTCCCTGGTGACCTGAATTAAATTAAACAACATATAAAATTAACAAATATCAAATGAACTGCAGCAAACTTGATATATTATTATCACAAGTGAAGCAATATTTTTGTATTTACACTTTTAATCACAAAAAACGTCTGGGTGGTGGGGTATACAAGTAGATGATTGTATAGGTGACTGGGTCTTATGATCATAAATTTCAAACATGTTCAGCAGAATTGCCATGAATACTATAGAAATTATTGAATATTTAATAAATATATGATAAAATTATCACACAATAGAAAACTGATATAAAAACATGGATATTCTATTCTGGGTTTAAAAGAGTGAGAGGGAATATTACAATGAGTGAGATTGCATCAGACTTTAAGAGAGTGTGTGAGAGAGTGTGAGGTCAATGATATTAGAAAGGTCATGAAAGTGAGTGGAAGAATTTTAGGGAAAGTGAATCGCAGATATTTTTGAAATTGTATCTATTAAAATAAGATATAGGCAGAAAATATATTAAAATAATTGTTGAACTTAAACCATTTCATAATATATATATATATATATATATATATATATATATATATATATATATATATAAAAAAGGCTTAAACACAAATATTCCATTGTCATAATTTATTCCATTGGAATCGTAAAATACGATCCAATTCATCAGACCTACAAATTCAAAAAAACAAAACAAAAAAACCATGGAATATTAGTGTTAAGCCTTTTTAATATATTCTTACTCTGTCCTGGACATTGAGTTCTACCTGGATCTTATCCTCTTGGCATTTTTTATTCATAAAATATACATGTAAGTGTATGCACCGATGTGTATATATATTTACATATGTATGTGTATATTTACCACTAGTATTACATATATATATATATATATATATATATATATATATATATATATATATATATATATATATATATATATATATATATATGAAAGAGTGGTGGAGATAGTGTGAGAGGGATTGGAAGAGTGTGAGATTAACTGAGTGTGAGTCAGTGTTATACAAAATGAGAATGAGAATTATAGAGAGAATGTAGCAGTTAGAATCTCAGAGAGTGAGAAAGGGTGTGAAAATAAGATACAATGGGAGTGGAGGAGAATGTGTGGGTGGGTGAAAAATTGTGAGAATGATTTAAGAATGTGCAAGAAAGAAGCAGAGTGAGAGAGAGAGAGAGAGAGAGAGAGAGAGAATGTGAGAAAGATAGTGAGAGTGCTATGGAGCAAAGGACAGTGTGATAGGGAGAATAACTGCACGCATGAGCAGAAAATGTGAGAGTGTATGTCAGTATGTGAGAGTCTGTGAGAGATTGAGAGTGATAATCAGAGAGAGTCTAACAATGAGATGTCAGAGAGAGTGAGAGAGAGAGAAAGAGAGTGAGAGTGAGATGTGTTAGAAAGAGAGTGTGGCAGAATATAAGAGTGTGTGCCAGAGATAGTCTGGAAGAAAAATTTTGAATATGAGAGAATGTGCAAGACAGAGAAAAACATTGTAAGAATGAGTGAATGATTGAGATTAACAGAGTGAGTGAGTGACTTGGCATTTGAAGATTGAGAGCACAAGAGTGAGAGATTGAAAAAATTAAGTAGAAATGAGTGTAGCATATTGAGAGTTTGACAGTGTGTTCAGAAATATTGCCAGAAATCCTGCATGAGTTACTGAATATTTAATATATATACCCAAATTAAGAGACATTATAAAACACATTTTTTTACAACATAATAACTTAACAAGTGTTTAAAATAGATTTATTTTCTTTTGAAAGATAATTTTATGTGTGCATCAGCAGCTGAAGATAGAATGGATGAGAAGAAAAAAGAAATGAATTGATAATTGATTCCATATATTTATTTAATGCTATTATCTTCATCATAATATACAAGCAGCTTCTTTGGCCTTTGGCATATTTTACTTTTGGTGGTCATTAGAATTTGTTTCACAATTTGTAAACCTTCCCAAACCAGAGCATCTGTGAAAAAATATCAGTAAGATCAATGATTTTAAAAAAATGCAAAGATGAAGATAGTAGTCTGAAGAATGCCTGGAATAATGGAAAATTTTCATTGAAGAAAAGAAATTAAGTCTTTTCATTACAAAGATTTAAAAATATATAAAAGCATGGATAGAATTTCTAACACTTGATTTAGATTTTAGACAGTGAAAGATCAAGTGAATGAAAGAAAGAGTGTACGAATATTAGAGAGTGTGAGATAGAGTGTGAGAGGGATAAGGAGAGAACGATAGTATCATAGAATGATTATGAGGGATCTGGAGGATGTGGGAGAGGTTAACATAGTATGCCAGAGAGTGTATGAGTGATTATGAGAGATAGTGTAGCAGTGAGAAAGAGTATTTGAATGACTGATAGTGAGTGAGTGTTAGAGAGAATGAGAATGGTAATAATAGAGAGAATGTAGCAGTTAGAATGGCAGTAACATTGAGAAAGGTTGTGAGAATGTGAGACATAGTGTGTATGTATGTGTGTGTGTATGTTGAAAGCTTACCTGTACTGTTTCTCCGAACTTCATTACCAACATTTTCATGCTGTTGAGCTGAATTAGAAAAATAAGTGTGACAGCTGAAGACGGAATGGATGAGAAGAAAAAAGAAATGAATTGATAATTGATTCCATATATTTATTTAAGGCTATTATCTTCATCATAATATACAAGCAGGTTCTTTGGCCTTCTTTATGTATATTTTACCTTTGGTGGTCATTAGAATTTGTTTCACAATTTGTAAACCTTCCCAAACCAGAGCATCTGTGAAAAAATATCTGTCAGATCAATGATTTTAAAAAAATGCAAAGATGAAGATAGTAGTCTGAAGAATGCCTGGAATAATGGAAAATTTTCATTAAAGAAAAGAAATTAAGTCTTTTCATTACAAAGATTTAAAAATATATAAAAACATGGATAGAATTTTTAACACTTGATTTAGATTTTAGACAGTGAAAGATCAAGTGAATGAAAGAAAGAGTGTACGAATATTAGAGAGTGTGAGATAGAGTGTGAGAGGGATAAGGAGAGAAGGAGAGTGTAATAGAATGATTATGAAGGATCTGGAAAATGTGAGAAAGAGGGAAGCAGTGAGGAAGACTGTGAGACTGATTGTGAGAGTGTGAGATAGCAAGATTGTATGACACATTGTGTGAAAGTGATAGTAAGAGAGAGAAAGAGAGAGAGATTGTGTGTATGTATATGTGTATGTGTGTTGAAAATGTACTATTTCTCCAACCTGCATTGCCAACATTTACATCCTGTTGACTTGAAATAAAAAAATAAGTGTGATAATGACACAGAGAGAGAGAAAGAGAGAGAGCGAGAGAGTGAGAGGGAGAGTAACAGTGTAAGTGAGTATGAAATTGAGAGTGATAATGAGAGATAGAGTATGTGCTTGAGGGTCAGTGGCACATTTTGAGAGAGTGTATGAGAAAAATTGACAGTGAGAAAGATAGTGCTAGTGTGTCTACATAGCAGTGTTAGGTGAGTATTTGAGTATGATAGAGACAGAGAGGGAGGAAGAGAGAGAGGGTGTGTGTGTGTAAAAGAAGAGTGAGAGAGATCAATGGAAAGAGGAAAATCAGAGATAGAAGAGACTGGTATATTGAGAAATTATTAATGTGAGATTGAGAGATTTTATGGCACATTGAGAGAAAGAGATGGTAAGTGTAAATGACAGAGAGTGAGAGAGACAGCATTTTGATTTTTGTGTCACTTGTCTGTTTCTTCCACTGAATGAGAATATATAACTTTTCAGTACCACCAGACCCAGGAGTTGAACTCACAATGGCTAGGGAACCAGGTATGCTTTAATCAACACATTAATCCACAGAGGCTATGTGTGTTTTGAGTTTGGTTCATAATTCTGACAAGTTAACTTAGTCTAGTAGACAACTCCAAAGAAAGTTGGTATGTTAAACAGCCAAAATTTGTGAAAATAACAATCAAGTTGAGGATTATGATTACTTTGTCAAGCATATACTCATATTAGCACGCAATATAACAGTAAGATGGAATGTTATAATGAGTGAGATTGTATCAGACTTCAATAGAGTGTGTGAGAGTGTGTGAGGTCAATGATATTAGAAAGGTCATGAAATTGAGTGGAAGAATTTTAGGAAAAGCAAGTGGTAGATATTTTTTTGACTGACATAGTGTGGGAGAGTGTGTGAGTTTAACATTAATTATGAGAATGAAAGAGAGTGTTTGAGTGTAAGCTAAATAGATTAACAGTGTGTGAGAGAGTGTGAGAGAAAATGTGAATGAGAAATATTGTGCCTGTGTGTGTGTGTATGGCAGAGTGTGAGAGTGAGTGATTCAGAGTGAGAGAAAGAGAGAGAGTTGGTGAGAGAATGTTTGTAATACTGAGTAAGATTTGATTGAGATAGAGCAGAAGAATGTTAGGGAAAGCAGGATAGTATGAGGGTGAAAATGAGTGAGAGATAAGCAGAGTGACAGAAATGAATGGGAAAAATCAAATCAGAGAAAGAAAAGTCATGGGAAATTAGAAAAGTGAGAGTATCAGATAGAGAGATTGTATGAAAGAGAGAGAGAGAGAGAGAGAGAGAGAGAGAGAGAGAGAGTAATTGTTAAAGTCTTACCTGTAGTATTTCTACTGGCTTCAATCCTTCTCTTTGGTTGACGTGACGTGAATTAAACAATACATGAAAGTAAAAAATTTCAAATGAATTGGAGCAAAATTGAGACATTATTGAAAGAAATTTGGGCTAATATATTCTCCCAAAGGAAGCCATATTTTTACCTTTGCACTTTTAATGATAAACATTAACAAGTCTAATTGGGGAGGTGTGCAAGTAGATGGTTGGGTAGGTGGCTGGATCTTATGGTGATAAATTTCAAACATGTTCAGAAATATTGCCAGGAATCCTGCATAAATTATTGAATATTTAATAAATCAGTCAGTTACATACCATGCATGATACACACCTAGGCGATCATGTATCTTTTGATACATGACTGATGAGGAAGATTTTTTCCTGCAGTAGGTTGCCATTTCTTTCTGCAGTAGATCAGTTGCCATCCAAGGCTATAGAACCCAGTCTGTCCTATTTACTTATATCTGGGGGGAGAAGAAGAGGATTCATATATTTCTCAAGGGTATTAGCATGTAAGTGAATGCCATGGATTTGACTGGAATTTGAACTCGGCTCTCCAATTCCTCAATCTAAGCTGCTATCCATTACTCCACCATATATCCAGATTGTGAATATTTTTCAATAATATTTAATGACATTCATTATAAGAAAATATATTAACTGATGGTATGAATTAAAATTTTTGATTCTCTACTTACTGTGGTTTCAAATTGCCATTCTTGTGAAATGGAAGTAAAATTCTTGGATAGAAAAAAGAAGAGAAAATTTAAATCTTTGATGTTTGTTGCCAACACAAGGTATTGAACCCTTCTCTTCCATTATGAATTTGATTTTAGAAATTTATATTATAATTTTATTTGGCTTATATTGATCTTCATGACAGTTTGGAATTCAGTGTTTTCCTTCTCTTAGATTGGTTGCCACCTAAGTCTTGAGAGTCAATTCTATTTGTCTCTTAGCTGGGTGTGAGTAGAAAAAGATTCATGCCTTTTCCAAGGGCATTTGTCAAAAAGTGAAAACAACATACTAGTCTGAAATTTGAATTTGGCTTGCTAAGTTCACTTTCTGAGAAGATAGACATTAAACAACCTGCATATCCATAAGTTAATAAATGAACTTCCTCCTTACCAATGGAATATGAAAGGAGAACAGATGATTCAACCATGTGCATATAGCATGGCAAGTGTTAGATGTAAAGATCTGGATTGGTAAAACGAAAGAATGTAACTTCTCTGAACATTTGGCATGGAAATAGTGATAGACTAGTGAGAGGCTAGTAAGATTTTATCAATGGGAACAATGAGGTTGTAGGGTTGAAAATATTTCATCATCCATAAATCCATCTAAATGCTTTTGAATTCTCTTAAGGCTCAGAAATGAGGATTGGACACCTTCAGTTCAGATGTGACAACAATATTTACATTATTCAGACTGTTATCCTCATCTTCATTGCCATATTCAAAACATTTTGGCTATTGTACACACTAGCTTTCTTCAGGTGATTGGAATTTGAAACTGAACTCTTTATAGATTGTGGATTGTTCTAGCTCCTCGTGCCATGCCTCTTCTAAATATCTCAGTTATTTCCCTCTAACTCAACTCTCCAAGTTTTGGTTCACCACTGCTCTGGCTTGGTATGGAACTCACAACTATTTGGGTCTAGTCACTGGATCTAACCAACGTCTTTATCCACTGGGACATGTGTCCCTGAGGACATCTGTGCATGAAGTTTTGGGACTTTTAAACTTAATGTCTTAGTAACTACTTTTTTTTTTTTTTACCAGTGCTCATATTTCAATTTTTTTTTATTGTTATTACATTTCTTTTTACTGGGGCTTATATTGCAAATTTCTGTTGCTATTCATTGCTTTTCTCTAATACTCCTTATTACTGGTTCCCATATTATATTCATTTCTATGCTTGGTTGGCTCAGGAGGTTTTTGTGGCCAAGCATATGTGCTGATTCCTTAAGTTTTCATATTTTCCAGTGATGCTCTCTATTATTTCAACCTCATCTCATTTATTTATTAGATTGTTTATTTACAAGAGTAATTTTATATTTACAACATTCTAAAAATGTGAACCCTAAAAATGTGAACCAACTAATACAAAGCAATGTTTATCATTTATCAAGAAATATGAAAATTATTTTTTTATTCGTAAATTTATAAAAATGTCTGGAAACAAGAAATTTTTTTAAAAAGTGAGCGAGAAGTGGGGCAAACTATAATTGTCAGAGTTTCTGGCCTTGAATTTCAAGATCATGATTATAAATAAATTGGAAAGTTAAAACAATCAGAAAAGCAAATATATTATTTTTGGAAAAGCATATATTTATTTGAATTTTGTTTTATAATTCATTGATACTTTTATAAAATTATGAATAAAAAACTTGTTTTCATAGTTATTTATAAAATGGTAAAATAATGAATATCGCATTGTAGATGGCTTACATATTTTGATAACATTGTAATTTTTGGAACATTTTGGAATAAAAAGTTTTCTTTTCGCATTTATTTCTTTATAAAATGATAAAGAATAAATATCACATTGTACTTGGTTCTCATATTTTTTAATCTTTTAAATAAACATTGAGGTAGTTGAGATAGTACAAAATAATAGCAGTATCAAGGGAAAAACTGTCCTCTTCATGCACCATTCTTGGGGCGGTCAATAATATTTCTATTGTCAATTCTCAAGTAATATATACATAAATTCACTTTTATATTTTTGGATTTTATTAAAATTCTAATCATCACTTTTTGAAACAGCAATTGTTTTTGCCTACTAGACTGGCATCTCACTCACACCCTTTCACTTTCGAAACTATTAAATGTAACAGTCTCTTCTACTCCAATAGCTTCATGAATCACACCTCTCGCCTGTGGAACTCCATCTCCTCTTCCTGTTTCCCAGATAGCTAGAATCTCCAACAGTTCGAATGTAATGTCAGTCGACGTCTCCAGATGCCCTGATCTATCCCCTATCCTTCTCTTCATCCTTTCATCTATCACTCCTATTTGTTCTAGTTCCTACATTCTGTAAGCCCTTGGTGCTAGTGGCTTCCTGCCTTGTGAAACACTTAAAACAAAACAGAATCAGTTATGTAAAATTAGGATAAAAATGAACAAAAATATATAAATACCCACGCAAATACACACACACATATATATATATATATATATATACTGAATACTTAAACAGAGCAACATCAGCATTGCTGTTTTATCAGAAACCAGACTTCTAGACAGAGGGCAACTCAAAGAAGGGGAAGGTGGCTACACCTCCTTCTGGGTAGGATGACTTAAGAATCTGTAAAAAGAGAATGTGGCATAGGATTTGCTATCAGAAATGATCTTTTGTCAATTAGATCGCCAATTAGATCATCTTTTACGGCCCCCCCCCATAACTAACACTTGATACAATGCCTTGCGAGACAATGTCTGGGCGTTGGAGAGGCCATCCAAAGCCCGTAAGAGGAGCTTCAGAGCGCGACGACATTCACGATAGAAGGAGCACTCGGCACGTGGTAAACGGCCGGCCTCTTCTTCGCACGAGTGCACACTTTTCAGGGACGGGAAATGTTTCTGGACGTCTTCTTTCCAAAAGGCACCCTCCTCATCCGACCCGCGACACATTCGGTCTAGAAAGGTGATGCGAAGCATATATTGACGAATCTCAATGCTAGGCATACCCAGACCGCCCTCCGAGGGATGACGGCAACAGACCTCGCGAGATACCATATGGGCCTTGCCTCTCCACAAGAAAGAGAACAAAGTCCTTACTAATAAAATTAGTCTGGCATACGGGAGTGGAAGTACAGAGAGTCGGTACAGGAGAATCGGATATATGTGTGAAACACATACCTCCGCCCTTCCCTTCAGGGAAAGTCTCCTCCGAGAACACAAATTAACCGCGATCTCGGCCTTCCCTTGTACCTCCGACCAGTTCATTTCCAACTGGAGATCAGGACCGAACCAGACGCCGAGTATCTTGATCGGCCCATCCGTCCAGAGGAAAGGTCCGGGAAG